ACAATTCTAAAACTTAGCCAAAACACTCCGAAGCAACTCAAACTATTACTACACACCTTTAAATATTAAGAATTGTTTTGATTATTTCAGAAATATATATACAAAATATGTAGAGAGAGAGAGAGAGAATTATAGCTTTTTTTTTCCCTTTTTGGTCTTCATTTGATAGCTAAATGAACTCCAAAATCTTATTCCACGGTCACTTAACAGCTGCAACCTGTTTGTTTCCCCACCATCTGTTATTTTGTTGTCTTTTGAAAACATCATTTCTAGTTCATAAAAGAACTAGTACAATGGGTCCTCAGTTAACCAGAGAAAATCCACAGGGGCACATAGAAAATCACTCGAGGAATTCAGCCTCATCTTACTTATGCCATATAGGATCATAACCCTTGAGAGAGAGAGAGATGATCCTGCTTTGAAAACGTCGGGACAATACCTCTAGTTACAACAAATTTGAGTTTTGAAAATCTATTTCTCAATCACATTTTCGGATGCATTGGTTAAAGAAGCATCAGACTCATAAGAGTCTCGTTTTTTAGCGACGAAGATTGAACTTTTGGTGATAAAATTTAACCTACTTTCTTGTAGTCCTTTCACCAGAAAGATCGCCAAGAAAAACCATTTTCAAATGTTAAAATAAATAGCTACATAGAAAGATGAACTTATATACTCATTACTCTAATTAATTACTTTACTAACATCTAAGTGTCTAACACCTATTAGTTGCTGAAATTAATCACCTTATTAAAAGTTACAATCTGCTTTTAACCTATAGTTTATTGGCAATGGAGTAGTAAAGTAATAAAAAATCAAACCACCTTTGTGAATAGGCCATCCAAATAATGTCCCTTAAAGGAAGAAAGATCTCGTGGGATTTGTATGGGGGTTGAAAAGCAAAGCAATGAGGAGGGTGAAAGCTGTCATTAGCTATGATGAAGCAAACCTGGCAAGGGTGGTTCATCACCTTCTAGTCTTGGACTAATCTAGATTATCAAAAAAAAAAATTGGTATAGTACTATCATCTATAATATTTGTGGATATTTTTATATTTTTTGTAATTATTTTTATCACTTTTGTGGTAACTGTTTTTACCATTGTTGTGGTATATGTGATCGATCCTAAAATGAATGTTGTAAATCACCCAAAAAAATTATAAAATTTTTTATAATAAAATGACTTACAAAAATGATAAAAATATCAATTAAAATTATAAAATTTAGAAGTACGGTATTGAAATATTTTTTTAGAAAATGCTAAATAAACTTAAAAACTTGATTTAATGAATTGCTACTATCGAATAGATAATGGATTTTAATAAATATTGTATCATCAAGTTAAATTTTTAAATTTTTTTAAAGGATAAATTACACTAACACCCCTTGTTGTTTCTGACATTTTTGCTACACCCCTTGTTTTTTTTTTAAATTTACTTTGACATCCCTTACGACGTGACTGAACGTAACAGATGCCCCTTCAAAGCAACAGACGGTAAGGTCTGTGATAATGTAAGCAAATTTTTTAACTTAAACTTCCTATTTGGCATATTAAAAAATATCTAAAATATTGCTTGGATTTCTACATGTATGTCCTAAATAACCCCAAGAACTCATACAAATATGATTCATCTCGTTAACCTCCATTAAAAAACAAATATCTTAAAATGGGTAGTGTTTCACTCTTTGCTCTCTGCCCAAATGATGTGATCGATCACCGAAGACGGAGTTTGGGTTCAAATCTTATTTTTCAACACTTAAAAGATCCAGAACTTTAAGACACAAAAGCTCTCTATTCTCTGAATTTTTTCCTAACCTTCAGGGTTTGATATAGGTTGCTTTCGTCTTTGGTGGAATGTTTGGTGAGAAACTGAGTAGAATAAACAAAGGTCTTCTAACTAAAAAGAAAAAACAAAAAAAATATATAAAACAAGAAAAGGCAATGTCGTTTTAGTGATTACACTGACAAGGGATGTCAGTGTAATTGTGTAAACAACAGGGGGGTGCAGTTATAAAGTAATAAACAATAAAGGGTGTCAGTGTAATTTATTCTTTTATAAATTTGCGGATCATTGCTCTAATTTTTTTTTTCTTTGGTAGCATTGTCTTCTCTAGCCTTCTACATGCATGTGGGCACTGATTTGACATTGGCTTTTGGGTGGGAGATGGGGTTTACACAAAGAGAAGGTTAAAAGAAGAGAGAGAGGGGAAGGTCATGAATACGTCTTGGGGTTGAGACTCTCATGGTCAAAGAACAACTTGCAACATATTCTTCTTGGGTTTCTCAACGTGATATAGTCACAAGGGGGACCCATTTCCTTTCTTTTATCTTTCCTTTCCACTCGTGGGTAACCCAACAAAGGAAAATACCCCTAGATCATGTATAAGCCTATTTAATATCTTGAAAAATGTTTAGTGGTATTGAGTAATATTATTTTATTATAATAAAAATTATATATATCTTATTCTTTTTCGTGTATTGGATTATATGTCTCCATTTGTTATTGTTATTATTATTTTTGTTAACAATTATTTAATTAATTTGAATCTTAACAAATAATAAAAAATTTAACATAATTTATTGACCTAATACTAATTTATTTTTATTATAATTGTTGGATTAATATTAAATTATAATATTTAATAAAATTTATAATAAATTTAAAAATTATAATAAATTAAATTTAAATAATATTACTCGATCGATAAATTATGTCTATGGTATGGAGGAAATATGCTGATGGGTATGCGAGTTGGGATGATTCTCAGATTCTGAAATCCCATCCTGTCCTCTGTTTCGCTTCCTCTTTAACGGGGTATGCCAAGCCATTCGTCACTCCTCTCTCTCTCTCTCTCTCTCTCTCTCTCTCTCTCAGAGACAGACAGAGTACGTAACACACATTGTTCGAGACAGCACGAGGAGTTGTCAGTTAGACAAAGCTCTTAGCCGAATCATTAAAGACTTTGACTCCATTTTCGTCCACTTCCTCTCTGTCTCTGTCTCTGTTTGTCCCTTCTTTCTGTCCTAAAAAGACAAGTAGATGTTTGAAACGCAGCCCCTCTCCCTGCCCTGACGAACATTATTTTTGGCATTCAAAGTTTGAGGCTATGGTTGTAATTGTCTTTGTCTCTATTTTTATATTTTAATTTTTAATTTTTGTCAAAAATAAAAATAAAATTATGTTTAATAATTATTTTTGATTTTGTTTTGTTTTCATTATATTAGAGATAAAAGACAAAAAAATAGGAACAAAAAATTTTTGTTCCAAAAAATACGCAAAACAGAAACAGGAGCTAAAAAGGATTAATGAGATCCGGGTTTCGAACTCCTTTAGTAGCAAAATACTTTATTTTCGTGAACTTATTTAAACCCACCCATCTCTCTCTCCTGTCTATCGCTGCCTGACTCTCTCCATTTTCTCACCTTCACCGACGATATCTCCTCTCCTCTCTCTCACCGACGACAAGTAAGCCCCTTCTCTTTCTCTCTGTTTCTCCCTCTCTCATCTAATCTCCTCGCTCTCTCTCTCTATATATATACACAGATTCGTGTATATATATGTATATATACACAAATCTATGCATATATGTGCACAGATCTGTGTATGTGTGTTGTGTGTGATTGGTGTGTGTGTGTGTGTTTTGTGTGCTGGATGTGTGTGTGTGTGTGTTCTGTGTGCTGGGTGTGTGTGCGTTGTGCTCTATGGGTGTTGTGTTTGTGATTTAATTAAGATTAAGATTGAAAAAGTAGCTCATTGCTTTCGATTTGTTGAAATATTGGATTACTGCTTGTATATTTATCTTTTGAGCTATTTATTATTCGAATATTTTCTGATTTCAATGTTACATGAATTGTTTAACACGGATTAAATTTATACAAAAAATTGGCAATCAACCATTTTCTTATTAATTGTATGTCAAACCATTGCAGGCAAAGATATAATAATCTTCGAACAATTTTGGGAATTGCCTAGGTGAAGGCTTCCTGCATATTATTTCATGATACCTTTTTTTTTTTTTGTATTTTGGTGATTTAAAAAGCTTCATCAATTGATTTGATCATAGATGTTTTTTTGTATGTATTCTGATGTTTCATATGTTCGTATCATGGAAATTGTTTAAATCATTAGAATATTCCAAGAGAGAAACGGTTGGTTGTCAGTGCTTTAATGATTACTGATCAATGCCCAGGAATGTTATTATTTAACACCCAATTATTCCTTGATTGCGCATACCAACAAAAGTTGGGTAAGAATCAACTAACTGAACTTTGTCACCATCAGCTGTGCATTTGTTGAAGTAGCTTCTTTAGGTATGTTTCAGTTTCTAGTCAAAGTGACCGGTTGTTACTGTCCAAGTACAACCGTGAAATAGATGTTCTAAAACTGCTTCTTCCTCTCCCCAAGAAGGGCAAAGTTTTGGGTCAGTTTTCTCTTCCACATATTACATTAGGATGCTATGCTGATCTTCAATTAAACGTTTGCAACTGAGGTTGTGCTTTATGTTGCAAACAAAAAGACAGAAATGTTCATTTTGTGCGGAATGTTGGGGGGAGAGTGTATTAAGTGGAGGGGCTATTTCTACTATGTTGAGGCTCAACCTTAGCACTTGTTGTAGCCTATCCACTCACAATATTTTCTTGAGATAGTTTTTGCCCATCTAAGTATTGTCTTGGATGCTTGCAAGCAGCCCTAAGTTAAGGCATGCCCACATCCTTGGGTGGTGTTCTTTTTGTAGCTTAGGTTGTCCAATTTCAACCAGGGTGTGGCACAATTTTAGGTGTCTTCAATTTTTTTAGAGTAATAGATTAAATTTATATGCCTAAGCAATGTACTAGCTTTATCTAAATTGCAGAAAGTTAACATTGTATTTATGAAATAAAATCTTATGTAATTTATTCAAAGCTTCAATATATTCGAAAAATTAATGAAATTTCATTTATACCTCAGTAGCTACGACCTCAATTCTCATGTAGGGGGTGGGTTTTGGTGTAGAATTAACTACATGGGGGTGGTTTTTGGTGAGGACGGAATTGCAAGGGGTGGAAGATATGTTTCTAGAGGCTGGATAGTTGGTATGTGGAAGATAGATGTTTGGTTTAAATCCTTTTGAAGGATTAAAGCCCACTATCGCATCTAGAAGAGGATTGTTAACAGGAACTGCTCTGTTGTTGATCTGTTGCTGCTTGGGATCTATCAGACTGTGATGTTGTCTGGGTGGTGTTACAGTGTTGCTGCTTGAGCTGATTTTTGGACAGCTTGATGAAGGAGGATTAGAGGAGGCCATAACAGTAATACTATCTATTCTTTGTAATTAGACTGTCGGTTGTAGTATAACAGAATTCTGTTAGGAAACAGAAAATCTGTTTTCGTAACATTTTTCTATTTTTTCTGTTAAACAGATTTTCTGTTTTAGTTTGATTCTGTTAAACAGATTTTCTGGTTGTCTGTGATCAAAGGCAGGGAATTGGATGATGCAAATGTTGGATAAGCCCAAGTTACTCATTGCAAAAGGAGGTGGAGGGTTTTTAGAGTAAATGGTGTTCTACCACTTTAATGGTTCAGTTAAGGGGCAGATTGCATGGATCTAGTAGTTGCTGCCTATCGGACTATCTGTTTCTGCAATCAGTCTGGGCTGGTACTGTTCTTATCTGCATCTGAGATTGATGTTGTTAATCTCAAGGAGTTACTAGCAGCTGGAATTGAAGAGTGTGCAGTTGATTAAATCTGCATCAGGACCTGTTTGCTATGGAAGAGGGTGTTGTCTGCTGTAAAGATCTAGGAGCTAAACTGTGAAGATTAGAAGGTGCAAAAATGTAGTTAAAAATGGTTTTAATCATCTTGAAGGATTAAAGCCATTTTTTAAATTTTTTTTAAAACAGATTGTTTTTTGCTTCTTAAAATTACTTTTTTATCAATAAAATTTTCCTTTTATTTAAAAAAAATGTTCTTCCATGTTCCGGATCCCCAGTTGCATTCTAAGATAGAGTATTATTTCAGTAGTGACAATTTAATTAAAGATACATTCTTGCGGAAAAACATGAATGATCAAGGCTGGGTTCCAATTAAATTAATAGTAGGCTTCAAAAAAGTGATGAATTTGATTTTTTAAGGTAGTAGCATGAAATCGTTGGGATATATTTGTTTTGTTGAGGAATTGTTTTTTTTTTTTTTTTCGTGTTTTATGATTATCCATTGTGGCTTGATTGGTTGGTATTTCTAAAAAAAAATAAAATAAAGTATATTTTAAGATAAAACATGAAGTAGTTACCAAACATATTTTTTGCTTTTTATTCTCATAATTTGATAGACAAACATCCAAACATGTTCTCTATTTTTGATTATTTTGAAGACACACGAAAACGTTACCAAACGACCCCTCAAACTCTTACAAATGTTTTGTTTTTTGTTCTTTGTGGAAAGTTCACGGAGAGAAAAAGGCCAAAAAAGAACATAAAAAGCCGATGACCACTAGCGCTGTGAATCGTGTCAAATAAGGTGAGTTTATATTAAAAAATATTTTAAATTAATTATGTTTTACTCTTCTCTAATTTCTGTTAGAAATATTTTATTTATTTGACGTTTAAAATTATACATATTACCTTTATATAGTTATGTACCAAAGTAAAATAATTGATATTATTAACGAATTAAAAAATTATCATAATACCCACGTTTAAAATCAAAATTTTCATTTGATGTACTCCTGACCATAAAACTAATGAAATAAGACAATAGACCAACACATTTTAATCAAACATGTCTTAGTTTTTATACTGATGAGATCGATGTTCTATAATTAGTTATTATCCTATAGATTATAAATGGTATTTTAGGCACTTTAACAATATTTTTTTGGAGAAACACTGAAAACAAAACCCATAATATATTTTGGATGTGTGGAGCATACTCTCTACTAATTTAGATTATAAAAATAATTATTTCACTTTGATACATAACTACAAGGGAATAATATGTATAATTTTAAACGTTAATAGTTAAAATGCTTCTAATCAAAATCACAAAAAAGTAAAAAATAATTAATCTAAATATTTTATTCATACCTGATTCATTTAATAATTTATGTTATATCGGATCGTATATAATTAATATATAAATGAGTCATATTATTTATTTTGTAATTAATCTTATTCATACTAATATATTTATTAATTATTTTATGTAAGATTTATTGGTTTACGAAATAAAATGACTTAAAAGATTCAAAAAATAATAGAAAGCGAATTGATCGTAGGAATCAAATACGGATGAGAGAAAGTGGACCTTTCCTTGTTGGAATGACGTGTGCTTGGTAATAGAACGGAGTTTGGTCAAACAACATGGTGGTACGAAATGTAATCGTACAATCTTCAATTTTTGGTCTGAACCTACATGTTCCAAACATGGTATAGCTACGACAACCATTCAATGCTATTTGATGCCTTTGTCTGCGACATCAACATTGGTAGATGTTCGTACAGACAGTGTTGTATTTTACGTACTTTAACAAGTTTGAAAATTTTTATTCACGAGATTGCAATATAATTTTACATTGATCAATTCTATAAATGAAATTAGTGTCCATCATCAATCGAGGGGAGGTAAAATGATATGTAGTGCAGTCTGATCGATGTATCTGTTTTGGATACAAAGAATCATATTAATGCTAATTACTCCATGGTGCCCTCTTCTAAGAATTACTTTTTTCACCAAAAAGAATCGCAAATAAAAAATATTAGACTAGAAAAGTAAAGAGTGAATTCTCCTGAGATTAACTATTATAAATAATCTTTCAAAAATCAATTGAGTCAAGCAAACGCGATAAAGTTCGTTTTACGTTGCCTCCCATAACTTTAAACAAAGTAATAATAATTTGAACAAAACACAAACCAACTAGGTAATGTGGGACATATATATGAATCAATCACTTCTTCAACCTCCTCATCCCCAAGGTCCTCAGCCTCTCTCATGCTCTCTTGAACTGTAGTATGGTTAAATTAGATGTTATAGTTGCTTGGGATTCCACTTCTGTGGCCTATGGAGAGTAATAAACCACATAATTCATGAGACGTTTTGGACCACACCCCTGTTTTTTATTCTTGTGATTTTTGGACCACACTCAACTTTCCCCAGTGGTCTCCCTAGAACCAACAAAGAATAATGTTATAGTTATGAGAAATTGTTTACGATAACTTACCTGTATTTTACAAAAAAATTACGATATTATAAGATTAAACTACAATTAAACACAGATCCAATTATGATACCCGGCCGATACTGTAGATTTATCCTCCTTATTAAATAGATGTGGTCCAAAATTATTCCCCTTTTCTTGGCAGCTGGGTGCCTGGTCGTTCAGCTACAAATGATTGACGTAAACATAAACCCCATTATCACAGCAAATTCACTGTTCACTTTAATAATCGACCACATTATGGACCACACGAGTGACACACTAGGAAAACTTTTTTGAACAAACCATTTGTTGGTTTTTGTAAACTATTCGTACCTAATAGGAGTTATCTTAATTTTCTCTGTATTTTTTAATTTTATCGAAGTTTAGAAAACCCATAAACCGAGTTTCAAATCAAAATGGGCCATGGACATGCGTTGCCTTGAGTCCCTCTTCTCTTAAAATCTCGTCACCTCCTTTCCTCTCTCTCGTCTCAAAATAAGTGGGTAAAATACCGATATCACTAAATTTATAATTAAGACGGATTAGAATATTAATGAGGGTTGAATATTTCCTAGTTTGACCTTAAGAGATTGTTAAGATTCGAACTTAAAATATCTAATTTTATAACTCGTTATTATTACCATTTGTATACATCTTGGGTCTTGATCTATCCCGGGCTTAGATTTTTTATCTTCTTTGAAACTATTTTCTCAATTCCCGAGACGAAAGATGACACACTTAATTCAAGTGAAATTTTTTGTACACGAAATCATTTCACCCATACTTAATAAAATATTTAAAAAAATTTGATGGAATCCAATGTAATAGTGCTAATAAAAAAGTTTTCAAAAAAAAATATATATATTTTAAAAATTGGAAGAATTGCGAATTCAAAGGTGCCCTACTTTATTAGGGAAACTCGGAAGGAGCACGTGCACTCATATGGTCCAAAGCGCAGAATCCTAAACTGTGGCGTTTTAGGCCCCCCCGTGCGTGTGGTTTGATTGATTGAAAAGAGAACTGGAAAAGGAAAGGTTGTGAATCAAAGGAGCCCACTTTTAGTTTGCACTTGTGGGCCACCATCTCTCTCGCGCTCTCTTTCTCTCTCTCTCTTACACAGACAGGGCCGGAGTCGCCCTTGGGCTAGGGTGGACACATACCCTCTCAATTTTTTTTTTTCATATTAAATATATATTTTTTTAAAATAAAATTTAGACATATTTAATTATGTCTACCCTAATATTATATTCTGGTGATATTAACTTGAATAGACATGTTCGAATATGTTTTAAACATATTGATGTTATTTTATAATTTTTTTAAATTATATAGTTTTTTCGTTATTGTATAAAAATATATGTCGTTATGTAATAAACTATAGGATCATAAATATAAGATTGTTACCACGATTTTGTACATAAAAGAAATATTATTGATAAAATTAATTTACAATTCTTTCAAATAATAAAAACATATCAGGGTCAATTGTATGTAATAATAATTAATCGCATTCTTGATAAGAAGTTTTAATTATTATTTTTTTGTTCATGTTATATATATCAATTTTTCATCTTCTATGTTTAAAGAGTATTAAATATAATTTTAAAATAAATATAAGTTTATGAACTTTTATGGTGTATTAAAAAAAATTAAAATGTTAGTGTCTTAAAAAAAATTTATGGTTCCGCCACTGCTCACATACACACACTCCTCCACCAAAACATTGAGCAGCAGTAGTGAGGGAGTCAGGCCACCCTCCCTGCTCAACTATAATTGGTTTGTCTATGGATGGGCATTTGCATTGCATAACAAAATACCGGGAAAAACTCAAAAAAAGAAAAATACAAAGTTAAGTTGTAATAGATACCCAAAGACATAGAGAAATACCGATGTATTTGAGAAAAAAAAAAAGATAATTTTTTTTTGGATACATACTTATAATTGAATAGAGGTCAACGAGCTTGAATTGGGTTTGTCGATCTTATTTTTTTAAACAAACTTAAAAATTGTTCAAATTCAACAAAAAAAGTTGAGCCTGATCGAGCATAACTCGAGTCAAGCCTGAATAACTCAACTACTTTATATATAAACGAATCGAGCTTTGCAAGTTGAGCAGAGTCTTTTAACCTGTTTTTCTAAATGAGTCCGAACTGAAAATAAAACAAATCGAACCCAAATAGTTCAGCTCGATTATTTGACTTACATGTACCTGCACAAGGTATTAGCAAATCAGGATGAAAGAGTAAAATGAAATCTGGTTATGAATTACAAAATTCCGTTTTTGATTCTTAAGCATTCAATATTCCAATTATTATTAGTAACCATGGGCCACATGTGGTAGAACTGCCCCATTGGCCTCTGCCTGTGGTCGTGGGCTTTGACACAAAATTTTCAGATTTTTGGTTCAACGATAAATTTCAAATTTGGGCCTTGACAATAATTTTCAAATTTGGTCTTGGGCCTACATGGGCTTGGACTAAATTCAAATTTCGGCGATGGGTTCTACATATTCGCAGAAATATCGCGACGACAGCTAAGCTTTGCCGTGTGTTCGAAATTCTCTCTCTCTCTCTCTCTCTCCAATCGTAAAAAAGGACGGAGAGGAAGACTAGGCTTTGGAATTACAAAGCTCTCGTAAAACCTCTCCACCTTCTTTCCCCCTTAATCATTATCTCGTTTTGATCATTTATACATCGTTGATCTTTCATTGAAATTCAGTAATTGTTGCCTTCTGGATCTCGTTCTCTGCCTTAGAAGTGAAGTAATTGTGTTTTTTTCATATATATTTGAATAATTTATTCGTGTATCTTCGATTCGGGATCAAGTTTAGAGAAAAATCGAAGATCTGAGCAACCATGTCGTATGCCTACCTCTTCAAGTACATCATCATCGGAGATACCGGTAATTTTTTTCTCTGAATTCTGGACTCCATCAACTTTATTATGTTATTGTTCCATTTTTTTTTCTAAATTAGTGTTTGCATTCATAATATGTTTCGAAAAATAAAATAGGTTTTGTTGTTGCTTTGGATCTTCATTTTTGAAGAAAGAGAGCACGGTGGTATTGTGGCTAGTTTGAATTTGTATTTGCAATTCATTTGTTTTGCACAGATGTCCTTGTACGCCTAACAATTGATTTATATTTTATTTCTGGTATCGTGGGAATCTAAGCATGATGCTTTATCTCTCAATCATGTCATATTCGTGTTATTTCCATTGTTTTTGTCATATTGTCATTAATATGTTTTGAGCGCATCTACTCTGTACTAAAATAACGACAAATGTTTGGTTTGCGCCATGGTAGTCCCGGTTTAAGAGTTACATTGCACTGCAAAGATGGTGTAACGGGTATGGAAACAGATGGTGTAACAGACGTTATGTAATGGATATGAAGGATGGAGCCATGATTTTTTGTGGAATTCACATTCCTTCAAAACTTAAAGGCATCCACGATTTGAGTCCAAAATATCCATGTTCGGATTTTTAATGATCGATGATTAGTTGTTCTATCACACGCATGGTTTGACGGGCTGAAGGAAATTATCTCGAATTTTTCAGTGTTAAGATAGGGAACCACTCAAAGCATATAATTATCCTGATGTGTATGTTCCTACAAAGGGGAAAGATTAATAGTACCTATTTACCGATTTTGTCTCAAAAAAATTTACATAGAGGATCCTCTAGTCTCATTCCAGCTTTCATAGTAAATTTGGCTCAAATATGAATTGGAAAATAAGCTTACGTGGTTTTGGAGTTAGGACATCAATTTATCCTACACTGGGAAGATCTACTTCTCATTAAATCCTTTTACAGTTACTAGTAATGCACGACGTGCAACTGAAAAATTTTGTTGAAACATTGGGTAAAATATATAACAAAATCTAATTATGCAGCTATATTAGATATTTAATCATATTTATCATGCTTAAATTGTTTGTATTCTTTTCATAACTACAAACATCCAATGGGCTCATTTTTCGTAATTTTTTCATTCGAGCTACCAAATAGTAAGGTTTACATATTTTTCTTTTTTCGATTTTTTTTCTTTTTGTCTTTCTTGTTTTTATTTTATACATCAGTAATTTTTTACTAAATTATTTTGATTGTGAATGAAAGATAAGATAAATATAGCCATTTTTAGGCATTGAAGATGATATTGTATCAATAGAGTTGTCGATGTGTGTTAATATTAGGGTTTAGAAAAAAAAAAAAATATTATTTTTATATATCATGTTAAAGCATAACATGACCATTCAAAAATTTTGCAAAGATAGATAAATTTGCTTGATATATTAGATATTAGCTTGTTATTTAAATACAAAGGGATATAATAGTAATTTAAATATTTAAATACAAAAATACATGTTAGCTGTTATAGTTTTTTTATAAGGATAAAATAATGAATCAAAATTTTTTGATGTAATGTATTTTTATTAGTAGAAAGGGATATAATGGTAATTTAAATATTTAAATACAAGAGGACATGTTAACATTTATAATTTTTTATAAAGGTAAAATAGTGAATCAAAAGTTTTTCATGTTAAGGTTCTTTTATTAGTAGTATAGATAAACTACATTGTTGTGAATTTTTCAGGAATATTAAGATCGTCAGGATTGGGATTGGACCCTTCTCTGAGTCTGTCACTAAACTTCAAAAAAGCTCGATTTTATAACCACAATCTGTATCTGGTCTGCATCTCCCCACAACTCGTTATTAATGGAGCACTAACTAGGTACCAGCAAGATTTTGGAAGAGACCAATGAGTGATCCAATGTTGGGCATTCTTGTGTTCCTCGACCCCCTTGGAGCAATGATAACATTGGGCATTCTTGCATTCCCTGAACCCCCTTGGAGCAATGATGGATCTTTTGGGGGGAGCGGGTATTCGAATCCCAAAAGCTTAAAAAATTCTCATTGTTATCCCATTGGTATAATTTTATATATCAATGTTGGGGGAGGGGGTGATCAAACTCCAAAAATTTAGAAAATTCTCTTTGTTCTCCTATTAGGTTAATATTATGTATGACTATTCCCAAACATTCTGTGGTATCCCTCCTAGACTTCTTCAAAATTTGTAGGTTGTGCCCCCAGGCCAAATTCTGTGATCTGTTGTGCCTAGGAGGCAGGGATATGTTCGTCATGTAATAATTTGAATGGTGAAGCCTTTTTATTCACCCATAAGATTTGGTGTCACTTCCTAAGTTCCATGGATGATGTTAGATTGCAGAGTTAATAGATGTATGAGTTGATTGAAAGTTTGAAACAATATCTTCCTTCTCTTTTTGGATGATCTAAAACTTGCACTTTTACTTAATTCATCATCACTAAGGCCTATTGTGTCTGTTTTGTCAATTCCTATAAGTCGATGAAATTGGGGAGCCACGAGCATTCGAAAAACAATGCAGCTAATGTAAGTTCTATACCTTGTGACCAGGGGTTGGGAAATCATGTCTTCTGCTGCAGTTCACTGACAAGCGTTTTCAACCTGTGCATGACTTGACCATTGGTGTTGAATTTGGGGCCAGAATGATCACCATTGACAATAAACCAATTAAGCTGCAAATTTGGGACACGGTTCGTTTTTACATGCTCTTTTTCTATCTATTTTTATTTTTGCTTCTGATTTTGAAATTTCTGTATCAGTTTACCTGCTTCCTCCTATAGCTGGTTAATGAATGACTTTAGTAACCATATAATGATCCTTAGTTTGTATAATAGAAGTTAGATAATTTGTAGGACAGTTTGTTCTTGCATGCTCGTTTTTGCTTCTAGTTTTAAAATTGTTGTATGAGCTTACTGCTTCCTCCTACAGCTACTTAATGAATGACTCGAGTAACCATATAGCAATGATCCTTATTTTGTAGCGTAGAAGTTGGATTTCATGAAAACTATTGTGCAATTAGCTCTTGATGTATGGTAATATTAATAATCGCATAAAACTAAATTATCTTTCCTTGTTATGTCAGGCTGGTCAAGAATCATTTAGGTCTATCACGAGGTCCTACTACAGAGGGGCAGCAGGTGCACTGCTGGTTTATGATATCACTAGGTATTAATCCTCTTTGACTCTTATAGTTACACAAAATGGCTATTTTATAAACTAGAACTTGTCACATAAATCTCTATTGTAATGCAACCCAGACAAAAAATTGGTGTATGGTCACGTGGGTATATGACTTTTCATGTTACCATGGATAAAAAAGAAATAGATCATCCCGCATCCACATCTTTTGAAAATTTTATTAAATATTTCTTGTACATGTCATCTCATAATTATCTTTTCTTGTAGTTGACAGTCTTTAAGTGTTTACTCTCAGATGTCAATAAGTGGGAATTTACACACTAGAACGCTAGCTTTCTTTTGAATCATTTTACACATTGGATTTAACAAAAAGGGTGTACTTTGCTATTTGATGACTTGTATATTATTGTGCTAGTAATGTTTTTCTTTTAGAAGTTAGAGTACAGATTTTAGTACCATTTGTATCATATATTGATGAATCCTATTTATATGAAAGAGCTACATTTTTAAACATCTGTCTTATTTGACTAAATTATATTATCTAACAACGTGTGAACCAGGAATTATGTTGACCCAATTAATGGGTATTTCCTCCCTTGCAAAGTGGAATAATTAGTAAAGATTGAAGAAAAAAAATTATAAAGGACAAAGAAAAAAAAATCGGTGATTGATTAGTTCATATAAGTGAAATGTGCTTCACTATCTTGATTGATCATAGTTTCTTCAAAAGGATAGTGGCAATTTTATTCAGCTTACTACAAATAAAATTTTACTCAACAACTTGGTGCAATGCTTTCTTTTATAGCATGAAATTCCCAGTTGCAAGAAAAGTGGAATAAGTATTCTGCTTTTTGGAATCATTAAACCTACTTATCTATGGTATGTCTGTCAAATCTTGGCGGTGGTTTGATGACATACCTTTATGAATTCAATTATTCTGTGAAGGTGGATGATGATGAATTGTAATAACTGAATTGGGCTGGTGTTGCTGGCTGTGTGTGGTTGGGATATCACTCTGCTACTTTGGCTGTGACAATGATGGTTTGTTTTGGTTGTTTTACAATTCAGGAGGGAGACTTTCAATCACCTTGCTAGCTGGTTGGAGGATGCTAGACAGCATGCAAATGCAAACATGACTATTATGCTGATAGGCAACAAGAGTGATCTCGCTCACAGAAGGGCTGTAAGCACAGAGGAAGGTGAACAGTTTGCTAAGGAGCATGGCCTAATTTTCATGGAGGCCTCTGCAAAAACTGCTCAAAATGTTGAAGAGGTGATGAAACTTGCTACTCACTGCTAAGGGATGTTTCTTGACTTGAGTTTGTATTATATGTAGAGTCGACTTCAACATTAAATTGATGTTTGGATGGCAGTTTCTGATTTTCATTCTGATAGAGAATTGCTTTTCCAGGCATTTATAAGCACAGCCACAAGCATATATAAGAAGATTCAGGATGGAGTTTTTGATGTATCGAACGAGGTATGTTTTACTCATTTTTGCTTATGATTGCTTACACCGTTTTAATGCTTCCTATTTTGAGCAATCCAAGTTCAGGTTGTTAAAATCGGGATCCTGTCTTTGATAGATAGAAGAGGCTACAAAATCAAGATTGTAAGATCGGATCGAGAATCGTAAGATCTCACAAAGTGAAAAAATAGGACTAAAAATATATTTTAGCGATCAATACAGAACTGTCAAATCTGATTTAAAACAAACTGAGTATATGTAATATGCAGAAATGTTGTGAATAACAAATAGAAATTAGTGATACGATGATGTGGGTGGTTTTTCCTTTGTGATTTTGTAAAGAGAAATAGGAGAATTGGAGGGTTTTGATCTGAACTATTAAGAGAGACGGTGACCGAGAAGAGACGAGAAAAGTCGAGAGATAGGACAATCACCAAATGGATTAGGTCTCTAAGTTTTAAAGCAATAAATGTTGATTGGTGAGCTGAATAACTAAAGGTGCATACCAAATAAACCCAACAACTTGGATTGACGGGATCAGGATTCTATGATCCTATAAGATCCAGATCATGATTTATTAAGATCTTATGAGTTAGAGATACTACGAGAGACTCGGATCAATTTGTATAAACCTAACTGTAGGATCTTACAATCTGGATCGAGAGTTTTATAGCCATGGGTTCAACATGACCATTGGTTGCTTGTTGTAGAACCGTTGGAGACTTATTTTTTTATTGGAAAACCAATAAATAGGACATTGTTTAGTGGACAAAAGGGTTTAATGGAATAAATCATTGTGAGATACCTTAAAATCAAATTTATATTCATTAAAAGCTTGGTATCACAGGTGCGTGTGCTGAGTTCCACTTGAAGTGTGTACTTGGATGTTGGGTAAGGTGTATGTTGAGTCCCATATCTGGGGTGTACTGGGAAGATCTAGGCTTGTAAGCGAGAGTGTGGGAACCCAAATGAGGATAGATATTTTGATGATGAGTTGTCCTGTGACTTTTGGTATCAAAACCAATCCCGAGGTATTGTCATGTTCTTCAGTCCTCTATAGTGTGGGTTCCACACAGAGGTGGGGGTCCCCTGGTGAGGATGCCTTTGTAGCAGGCCAGTTTCATACTAAATCAGTTGCATTGCATTGAGAAGGACTAGCCGTGTTTGGGTTCTCTGCTCCCGCTCAAAGCCCAAATCTTCCCATGGCCTATGTGGGACTCTACATACTTGTGTGACTGTGGCACATAGGTATGTGTATTGTTGTAGCATAGATTATAGAATGTCTTACTCAAATAGGCTGAGGTTCACTTGCAGAGACTTATGTATACTTGTGTTGTGAATCTCCTCATTTCTTGGTCTCAAAGATGAGCAAACTTAGCTTCCTTCTCTTATTAAAAGTGACCGACATAATTTTGTTTCAGTCTGGTCCAATGGTTGATGCAATAACTAAGTTTTTCAGAATCAACTGCCTTTCTATCTTTATTTTGCAACTTTTTGACCTCAATATTAAACTTTCTACCTTATAGCTCACACTATCTTTGTGTCTATCGAATTCCCTTCTGTCAGTTTTAAAGCATGCTTGCAAAAACATGCTTTTGAGGATTTTTTTTATATTGAAAACGTGTTATGAAAAAACACTGTTACATTGAAAAGGGTGGGTTTGAACCTCTGGTTTCACCAAAACGATGATATTTTGAGAACCAAGTTAAAAACTGTAGACTGGGATAAAAGACTTGAAAATTCTATCATGTTGTTGCTTACCAATTGAAGGGTATCCGCTTTGATGGTTAGAGATCACATTGTTGATTATCATGCTCCTGGTTTTATTTGTGCAGTCCTATGGGATCAAGGTTGGATATGGTGGCATCCCAGGGCCGTCTGGAGGAAGAGATGGTGCTGCTGCTCAAGGAGGCGGTTGTTGCAGTTGAAACATGAACTGATAATGTGAACCAATTCACATTCCTGTGTTTGTTGACTTGTGGTTGCAATGGATCTTCAACGTTCTTTTGTCCTTTGGAACAGACTGTGGAGAACAATCAGCTTGTGGAGAACATGAATTATGGACAAATTGTTAAATATCATAAATGTGTTTTTTTTCCTTGGGATTGTCATATGATGTATAATTCGACAGTCTCAAATATTGAATTTGTATTATAACAAACTATATTAAGTGCATCAGGCAGGTTTTATATGATTTCTATCACTTTGAACATGTTTACGCAAAGAATAATGCTATTTGGACTTAAAAATTTGACATAATTTGTTGACATAATAATGTGGTTGTATAAGAATCATTGGATCAACACTAAATTTTAATATTTGATAGGGTCTGTAGTTAATTTAAAGGTCACAGCGAATTAGGTCAATAAATTAAATTTTAATAGCATTGCCCGTGATAGTAAATAATTTGTGATTTCAAGATCGAAAGTTGGGTTGGTTGGAAGTCCAAAGTTTATAAGTGATAACCGGTTTAAATGATTTTATTATTAAAATAAAAATAAATATTTAGTCATAATAATAAAAATTTATTTTTTAATACCTTTTTTTTTTGGGTGCAATCACAATATAATTGCAATCCAAGACTTTATTTTTTTATCTTATTTTCTGTGACGTGACCCTATCAATTGCAATCTTCAACCCCCAAATCACATCCACTAACAAAAACCTCCAAGATTTTTCTCAATCCAAAAACACACAATAATGTATCGTCCATATCCCTAAAATACCCTTCTTTACATGGGATGTAAGCCAAACATATGGCCCTACCCTTGGTAATTTCATGCCAAGTCGGTGGCAAACATTAGATAGGGTTATTACTTTTTTCACTTCATCGCACTTCTCAGTCTAAACTAACTCTCTTCTCTCTTTGAGACCGTGGAGAAGAGAAGATTGGTGGTGACAATGGCAGCGGTTGGAGTGTTGAAAGCGCCTCCTCAGAGCTCTTGGGGGCTCATCGGTGAAGGAACAAACTTTCGTGCGGCGTCGTCTAGGAGTTTATCATTCGCATCCTCTAATCTATCTGGCGATAAGCTGATCTCGTCGTTGTTCCTTCAACGACGCCGTTCCGCGGCATGCTCCGATGGTGGAACTCCGGTGATCGTCTCTCCCAAGGCAGTTTCTGATTCCAGGAATTCGCAGACATGTCTTGAACCCGACGCTAGCCGAGTGAGCAAACTCTCGCTCTTCTCTGCTCTACAATCCTTTTTTCTAATGCTTATACATGCCTTTATTGTGCGTGCATGTGCGTGTGTTCTTATACGATTTTTAATATAAACGTATGCTGGAAGAAGTTATTTTTTTAATGAATTTGTCACTAGGTCGTGAAAACTGCAGTGAGCAATTGAAATTCACCGGTCTAAGTATAGTAAGTAAACAGCAAATAGTTTTGCTCGAAATGAACGAGATTAATTTGATCATGTAGTTCCATATCCAGTATCTGCATCGTCTATCTCTGTGATATGAAGCAAATTACTTTAGCTTGTGAAGTCTTTGCATTTTGTAGCTCTAGTAAACGGTAAACGGAACAGTATATTCATATGGTCCCGATTGTCAGCCTCCAAAATTCATGATTCAAAAATGTAGAACTCTTTATGCATGTTTTATTATTACTCAGAATTACGATAATGTTATGAAGGCTTTCGATTCTTGGCAATCAAATTTTGTGTGCTGTTTTGCTACCAATAAAATTCTGGAATGGCCTTATTTTGCTATTTATTTGCAGTACTGAAATTATATGATCCATGTCAATTGTGATTGCCTTGAAGTGTAGGAAATGATTGTTTAATACTTTGAGATTGTTGCCTTTTTTTTCTTTTTCTATGTGGTGCTGGTATGTTGAAGGGCCATTAAATGTATTTCTAGTTTCCATCAGTTTTTTCGAATGCCTGTAATAATAAAAAATTGAGGCACTTATTTTGCTGCACTTCCTTGTAAAGACTTGATGGAAAACTATAATAGAGAGAAGATGAATTTTTCATTTTTGAAGTGAGTTCATGTACTCTTTAGGTGTAATAAGCTTTAGTAATGGTCACTAATGAATTAATGACAAAAAGGATTGAGCTTTACTGCAAATCAGCTGAAGGATGTAAATTAAGGATCCACAGCGTTGGATTTCCTGAAGTGTTAGTAGACAATCTCACAAAGTGTGAGTTTTTGGCTATTTGATAAGATTAATATGCTATCTGTTTATCTTCTTGGGGTTTAATGACTTTCTTTTTGTGTTTTGTTAATTTGTAGATATGTTATGTTGTCTATATGATCCTTCACAGAGTGTCTTGGGGATTATTCTTGGAGGTGGAGCTGGGACACGCCTTTACCCCCTTACAAAGAAGAGAGCAAAACCAGCTGTTCCTCTGGGAGCTAACTACCGGCTGATTGATATTCCTGTTAGCAATTGCTTGAACAGTAATGTATCCAAGATCTATGTTCTCACGCAATTCAATTCGGCATCCCTCAATCGCCACCTTTCACGGGCATATGCTAGTAACATGGGTGGATATAAGAATGAGGGTTTTGTTGAAGTTCTTGCTGCTCAGCAGAGTCCAGAAAACCCCAATTGGTTCCAGGTAGTTATAATATTGACACCTTGTACTTTCATGTTCTGTCCTATGTCTTGGTTCTTCTCTAATGTTTTTGATACCCCATTTAAGTGGGAAATAAGTTATGTAGTTCTAATGTGGACCGTCTTTTTCTGAACTCGACACATAATCAATCAAAAAATTTTGTGTGCTCATTTTTCTAATTTTAGTTTTGGTAAAGAACCATATGCATTAGTCTGAGGTTTTTTCAGTCAGGGACATGGGGAAACTACGCAGATGGGGGGAGGGAAGGGTAGGAGAGTCCAAACTGTGACCGGCTGCAGGTTCAATGATCCCAGTGGCATTTCAATCTTCTTACGACTGTCTGAGACTTGAAGCCCCCAAAATATTTTGTGCAGTTTTATATCCCAGCCAAAGTACTTCAGATCAGAAGAATTTTCAATTTTATTCTTCTCGTAATACATTGAAAATCCCCCCTATTCACTTAAGTTAATTTTTTATAAGACATTAAGACCAGTTAACCTATGATATCACCCACTAAACCAGGGCCTATTTCTCCTTATCTCTCTTTGACTTTGACACACACACACAGAGTCAGATATACAACGGCACAATTACTTGGTTAATACTTCAGCATTCCTATATTGCTTTGTTGATTGGAGCCCCCATCAGGATGTCCAATTTAATTTGCTTTCAGGGTACAGCTGATGCTGTGAGGCAGTATTTGTGGCTGTTTGAGGAGCACAATGTTCTAGAATTCCTGGTTCTTGCTGGCGACCATTTGTATCGAATGGATTATGAGAGATTTATTCAGGCTCATAGAGAAACTGATGCTGATATCACTGTTGCTGCGCTGCCAATGGATGAAAAACGTGCCACTGCATTTGGTTTAATGAAAATTGACGAAGAAGGCCGCATAATTGAATTTGCAGAGAAACCCAAAGGAGAGCAGTTGAAAGCTATGAAGGTAAGTATTACTTGTGTAGTTTCTATATTCATTGTGAGTTTTACAAGCTGTCGAGCTGCCATACAACTATGTTTATTAAAATCAAAATGCAATTTATTCCAGGTTGATACTACTATTTTAGGTCTTGATGATGAGAGAGCTAAAGAGATGCCTTACATCGCAAGTATGGGTATATATGTTGTCAGCAAAGATGTGATGTTAAATCTACTTCAGGAACAGTTTCCTGGAGCCAATGATTTTGGAAGTGAAGTTATACCTGGTGCTACTTCCATTGGAATGAGAGTATGTATATTTCTAATTTGTTCCTCTATTTTTCCCAGTAGTTGCAGAGGTTTGTGTATACTAATGTTCTAATGAAGATATCACACCAAAGAAGTGGACATCCTTGTCAAACATTTTTCTTTTTTGTATATGTGGGGCTTATGGCCCCATAAAAACAGTATATCTGTTTTTCTACTTTGCCCCTTGTTGCATAATCCTAGCCACAATTATGAGGATTTTCATCGTGTGGGTTGTCCTGTATTCCTTAATTAAACACCTATAACGGTGTTGTTATAGCGATATTAATGTTCCAATCTTTATAACTCTGCAGCTTTCTGCTAATCATATTTCTGATTACTGAAGGCACCAAACTTTGCTGCAATTTGTTCTGTAAATGTAATGAATTCATCTTTAGTTTAAGTGAATGGTATACCATGGTTTTCTGAATGTCCTGGCTGTTGAAATGCACCTGAATTAAATCCTCCTCTCTCCTTGTTCAGTAAGTTTTATTGCTACTTCATCCCTATAGGTACAAGCTTACTTGTATGATGGCTACTGGGAAGACATTGGTACAATCGAGGCTTTCTATAATGCAAATTTGGGAATCACAAAAAAGCCAGTGCCAGATTTTAGGTAGCTTTTTTTTGATCAGATGTTATTCTTCTTCGCCATCTATTGTTGTCATACCAGCCTGGTGTAATTGGGGTGTGAATATGCTAATATGGTCTTGAACTTCTTCTGCAGCTTCTACGATCGTTCATCCCCCATATACACCCAACCTAGATATTTGCCTCCTTCCAAGATGCTCAATGCCGATGTCACAGAGAGTGTAATTGGCGAGGGCTGTGTGATTAAGGTGAGTAATTGTGGTTGTGGACAAAGCCACTGGATAAATCGTAGTTTCAACCAGCAGGAAAAATGTAATGGACATTCAGAATGTGATAGTCACCATGCATATTAGAGTTGCCACATAACTTTAGTATTCTAGAAACTTGACATTTTGGACTGAATGGAGTGAAACACGACAGTTAGCTATGGATTGAGAAATTCAAAAGGTTTAGATGAGAAACTAATCATATATTTAATTCCATTTCACGGAACAGTGGTGTAATATGAATAAACCCCACCCCATCACACCAGTTTCCAGGGAAAGTGAACTTATCATGTACGAATTGTACTTTTGAGTCAATATTTATTAGCACTTCTAAACTTTTACACTTTTCCCCCACATGCAGAACTGTAAAATTCACCATTCTGTGGTTGGGCTTCGATCTTGCATATCAGAGGGTGCAATTATAGAAGACACATTGTTGATGGGTGCAGATTATTATGAGGTAACTCCTCTAAGAGATCCAATAATCTTTTTCTTTAAAATGCTGTGTTTGGAAGTCCATTACAAACCAATTAACCAATTACTGAATTCTTAATTCGACTTGCTTATGCTTAATCATGTTAGTTAATTGTCTTGTTGCAGACGGATGCTGACAGGAGGTTTCTGGCTGCGAAGGGAGGCATTCCAATTGGTATTGGCAAGAACTCTCACATCAGGAGAGCAATAATTGACAAGAATGCACGCATAGGGGAGAATGTGAAGGTTGTGATTCATATTAGCCAACTCGCTATAAATTTTTTTATCTACTTCATTTTTTTAAGCAAAGCAGTTTATGGTAACTAATTTCTGGATAAAATTTCTAGAATCAAAGTTTTCCTTCTGAATAGAGATTGTATCTAGATGTGTAGCATATTTCAATTATTCCTCAGAAGCCAATAGAAAAAGCAGACAAAATATTAAATACACAGCAATTATCAGAAAACAAGAATATAAGAAATTGTGATAATGTTTTTTCTTGAACTATAGAAATGGCTCAGATGCATGACAGCATGGTGAGAGGAACAAGAAAATGCACATCACGTTGAAAATTTGAATCTTCAATGTGGAATTTTGTCATCGCAGATCATTAACAGTGATGATGTTCAAGAAGCAGCGAGGGAAACAGATGGATACTTCATAAAGAGTGGGATCGTCACAGTAATCAAGGATGCCTTGATTCGTAGTGGTACTATCATCTAGAGATGTTGCGTGCTTAGCCACACTATGGAATGCCTTGCCTAGTTTTCGCTTGACAGGTAATGTATTATTACCATTCCTTGCCCTTTATGTGATATCTAGTTATGTAGCTTCTATTAGCATAATGTATCTGACAGTAGTAGAGCAGTCTTGTCTACTTACGCTGTATAGGTACGTTCTCTGATCCAATAAAAGTTCATTTTATGAATTTGGTCTTTGTTCTTCCCTAGACTCTCAGCCGAGAAACAAAAATGTGCGCTGTGTTTTTTTTTTTCCTCGGCAGTATAGATTCCTTAATTAAACTATTGACTGCCAGCACTTGGGGTCGAAGAGAAGGAAAAAGTTGCAGCTTCGGCGTCCTCCTATTATGAATATATGCTTTCATTCGGGTATTTCAGAGGAGAGTAGAAGCACTTTACGCTGCTGTGAAAATAAATACAGGTTTACTGCTCATCTCTTGAATAGATGCTAATTGAAAAAATGAACAGTTTGATGCACGAGCAGTCTAGGTCTGAGAAGACTTAAATATATATAACCTTATTCCATTGGAGAGTTTGTTTCTATCATTCAAACCGTTGATGCTCAAATCACAATGAGACAATCTAATTGTTGTATCAACATCTGCCGTCTACTTTAAGTATATAAAGTGGTTCATGAACAACACTTATTGGATCGTAACACAAGAAATACAATTACTAGATGTTATTGGATATATGCAGGATGTGGGAATTATTAAGCAGTTCTTCTCTGGGCTCTTCTATCCATGCTGAATTAGGGACGAAGTCAGAAATTTTTATCTTGGGGAGGGGGAGGCGGAGGGGGAGAGGGGAGCTCCCATGGGAATTTATAATGAGAGGGGGTATTTGCACGTGGAGGAGTAGGACTGTTCTTGTTCTAGTGAACTTCCCTGCTGTTCCGGCGGTGGATTAGACTTTCTGACAGTAAAAACCAAGCGTTAAGTCAGACAGAAAATGCTAGAAAATATATCAAAGAAAGGATTTGACTATCACAAAAAAAATTGGTTCCATAACTCTTAACATTTATTACGTAAAGGGTGTTTTTATAACTCTTTTAGATCATTTTATTACAAGAAATTTACCATTTTTATGAGTGTTTTTATTATTGTGGCATCTATTTTACCATTTTTTTAAGTACCACAACAATGATAAAAATACCTATAAATGTTGTAAAAATAACTACAAATGTAATAAATAGAGATATAGTACTGGGAAAAAAAAATATCGGTACCGTAATAAATCCCAAAGAAAATGTTTTGGATGTTTTTAAGAGTCTGTTTATTTCAGAAATGTAAAAATAATTAGAATATAAACTTTCTTCCCCGAAGTGACCGACTCTTTGTTTTTTTCCATGCAAGTGGTTTTGTATAATTTGAATTCTAAATTTACCCCTCTTTTTTCTTACAATTTTAAATTCATAAATTATTTTAATACGGAAACATATGTATAGTTTCATATATAGTTGTATATTTAAAAATTTCTCTGTTTGTTCACTTTTTATAAATCATTTATATTTTAAATGATCTAGATTTATGAGAAAATAATTAGAGGGTTCTCTAATTATTTTCTAACTAGAAAAGAGCCTAACTTGCTTTTACTTCTCCTGATCAAAGGAGGAATTAAAGTTTCATTGCCAAATATGTACTTTAACCTATGCACGTGATATGCAGGAGATTATACGAATTCAGAGTTTGCTTGGCAATCATGAGTTTCGCATGGTTGAAATTATTTGTGATTACCGAGAAAAAAATATTTAACTTGGGTGGAAAAAGATTAGAAAGATGTGTACCTTGGTTGGTAGAGAAGTTTGGTACTCTTGCTTCATAGTCAATATTATGGAGGCTACCAAAGATAGCAAAGGTAGCAGCTCTCTTGCAGAGATTCCTCATTCTTTTCACACATTATATTACTATATGGGAATATTGATGACTTTCTCTAATTATACTAAAGGTTCTGATTCCCAAAGCAATTCGATGTTACCCATGATGGGGGCTTTAGTGGGTGGTGGGGTGAGGTGGGGAGAGTCTAAGCCTATCACAATGATTAGTGCATTTCCACCCACAATTCTAATTTTGAATTTTATATTTTCTCTATTTAAAAAAAAAATTAAATATAGTGATAATTTGATACTTTGCTTACATGAAAGCTTCTTTCTTTTTTTATTCTTCACCTCAAGTAGGCCTGTCTGTCGACTGAGGATTTCAACTCGAATTCGGTTCGAATTCAAATCTGTTTAAGTGGATATAATAGATCGGATTTTCAATCCATTAATTTGATCTAAATTCGAATCGAAATTCGATTAGAGTTGTCTAAACGGATTCGAATATGAATTTATAATAATTTGATCTGTTATTAATTTGATTCGAATAAAAAAAATATATTATGTAAATAAATATCACACATATACTATACTTATACTAGAAAATAAGTAAAAATAGAGTAAATATCACAATGTACGACCCAGTTTTTGCATTTTTATTTTGTTTCTCTCTCTTATTTGATTTTTACTTCAATTTTTCATTTTTTTCTCTTTTTTTTAGTTCATTATACAAATTTTTATTGTTAATTTTTTGGTGTACATATATTTTTGTGATAATCGGATCAGATCGGATTTTTGGATTGAGCATATAAAAGTTAACGGATTCGGGCATAGATTAAATTTTTTAAATTCGTCTGATAATTGAATTGAATCGGATCGACAAAGATTTAATCAAATTTGAAAATAAGTAAATTCGGTCCATATCCAATAAGTTGACAGGCCTAACCTCAAGGATTGAAGGAAACACATATATTGGTCCAAATCGGAGCCATTATCAGAGATCAATTTATTTCTTTTTTGTTGTCTTAATTATTTTTCAGTGGAGTTGAATCTTCAAAAAAAAAGGATAATGAGTGAGCTGAAAATTTCAATACTTCGAATAAATTCTTAGTACTTTGAAAATCAAATAGTCGAAGAATGACATAAACGTCAAGTATCTCAAATATAACATAAGTGCAGACTCAATCATAACACGTCACATGTCATGTAGGGCCTGAGTATAAACTTAGTACCTCATCAGTCCTCGTATCTCACCCGATGTCATAGGTCTTTTGGGGGCTGCTTGGTCAGTGGAATTAAGGGTGTATTTTGGGCAGATTAATTCGATTTCAACTCAAATTCAATCCGAAAAAATTAAGATTTGGAGTAGGATTTTTAATATTTGAGTTACACTTGAGTTAAAAAAACTCCAACCTAAATTCAATTTGGGCGGGCCTTAGGTTGAGGTATCAGGTTCATGGGTTCAACCCGCACCCGACAAATTAAAAAAAAATTATATATATATATATATAAAGCATTAGCACTGATTTTTCATTTTTGCTCCCTCGTCTCTCTCCATCTCCATCTCTCAGGCTCTCTCTTACTCTCTCTTGACCTCCCCCCTCTCACTCCCTCTATGCACCAAAGAGCACAACGATTCTCAAATCTAGTGATCTAGTGGTCAGATCTAGAGGCTTTGCATCTCAAATCAGTTGGAGATGCGGTGGCTATGGCGCCAAAAACCACAACAATGGTCAGATTTCGTGGCAATGTATGAAACGTCTGTGGTGTGGTGGCTATGTGGGCAGCGACATGCTGGTTGTGGTGATAATGGCAGTGGCGATGGCTATAGGCGGTGGTTGTGGTGACAATGATAGTGGCTATGGGTAATGATTGTGGTGGCAATGGGGTGGCTACGGTATTTTGGACTTTTTGGTTTAATTTCTTTGTGTATATTTGATTTGTAACCCAAATTTAATCTGAACCTGTTCGAATTCAATTTGGGCAGTACTTGGGTTGAGTATCTCTGGTTCGGGTTCAGGCTCGGGTTAAAGATTCTATATGTAGGGTTAGGGTTGACCTTTCAGCCTGCTCAACCCGCCCGAATTGCACCCCTAAGTGGGATTGGGGGGACTTTGGAAGATGGGTTGGAAAAAATAGTTTACATGACACACAAAATTTATATTTTACCAAAAATTTGAATCCTGAGTTACCAAACTCAGCCCGCTATTAGTTCGGACCTTAAATCCTAGATCATGGTTTCATCAAACTCATGGGGGGGTTTTAGATGAGGGCTAACGGATTCAAAATACAAAAAAACAATTATGACCCAGACTTATACAAACATGGGTTTTGATTAGATTGGTGAAGGGACACAATAGTCATTTATATATAAATATATTATCATAATAGTGATATATTCGTGTGCATACCAAACATGAGTATGAATTAGATTTAATGTTGAATCTCATCTTTGTAAAGAAATGTTTGGATTTGGAAAGGTTTGGAGAAATCAATCTAATTTTTTCCCAAAAATTCATACAAACAAGTCGTTGGCCTATTACACTATACATGGAATGCATTCATCCATTTAGTCCTTCTTATTTTGATTTTATAAGTAACGCCGCAACCTATCTCACACTGTCTGTATGTCTATATAAATAATAGACCCTAAATACTAAAATATTCACTTTTTAATATCTCTTGATTTTTACTACTTCCCAATTTAGATTCCTTTTTTTTTTCTAAATTTATATTCCATACATTCAATTTTTAGTCCTAATTATCTTAAATCATTTTGATTCTAGAACTTTTCACCATATTTCTAGAGTTTATTATTTGACAAGCTATGCAAATTGAGACTATCTATCCTCTATACCTCCCAAAGCAATAAATAGAAGAATGAAAGCAGCTATCATCCACCCTCATGTCACTCAACATGGGACTTTGATGAGCTAGTGGGGTGATGAAAAGGAGGTGGTTCACTCCAAAATTTTCTACCAACATGGTTAGTGCATTCCACACAATTCCAATTTTGAATTTTTTTTTTATTCCAATTATCTCATTTTTTTCAGCCCTTTGAAAAAGATAATGGGATGAGCTGGAAATTGCAATAAGCAGAATAAATTCATAGTGCGATAAGAATATAAAGGAGTAAACTAAATATATGATCCTCAAACTGTGATCTTTGTGTCAATTAAGAAAAGTTTACTACCCATCTCTTGAACAGATGCTAATTGAGAAAATGTGAACGTCAGTGTTGAGTCTCAAGCTCATATGTACATACATAATCAACCTTATTCTGTTTACGAAAGGATTATTTTTATCACTCAAATTAATGCTCTTCACATCACAATGAAACAATCTTGTAGTTGTATCACATCCACCCTCTATTTTAACTAGGAATACTTTATGATGGTAAAGCCCTATACAGAAAATGCTAGAAAATATATCAAAGAATTTTTTTTTTTTTTTTTTGCATGTTTTCATAACATTCTGATTATTGAAAATTGTAAAAAAATTAGAATATAAACTGTGTGTCTTTACCGAGACTGATTTTCCCACAATTAACAAACTTCTTTTTTCCTCCTGCAAGTGGTTTTGTGTAATTTAGTTTCCTAAATTTATAAATTATATTAATACGAAAATATATGTTATAGTTTCATACATAGTCTTATAGTTGCATGCGTATAGTTGTTTTACTTTTGAATTGGTTCCTATCCCATTACGAACAATTAGACCATTCTTCAATTTTCTTTGATTTACCCACATCAGCGATATGCAGGAGATTGAATTTTCTTAAAGTTTTTTTTATGCAAAATATGTATTTTAATCTATGCAGGAGATTATATGAATTGGGAGTTTTTTATTTTTTTGGTGTTTAATAGCACTTTTTAATCTTTAAAGTATGTTTGGTTTGTCAATTTATCAATTTGGTCCCTGAAATTTTTAATTCGTG